TACCTCTAGTTAATCTTGTCATCATTGGAGTGAGTAGCTTTCATAATAGACATTATAACGATAAACAAACCATAACCTCTCAAACTAAAAAAAAACAAGGAGCAGAACTCATGCTCATGCACAGATTACTTGAATTTAGGGTGCATCCAGGATTTCATCACCAGTTTTTTTCTTTTCTTTTTTTTTTTTGAAGTGCAAATTCAGCTGCACTTTAGTATGAAGGAGTCAAAATACTGCCATACCTTCGGAATCAACATCTACATTCGAACCAAATGAAAAACATAAACAGAAAATGGGTCTTATACATTATTAATCATTCACGATTGCATGATGGGAAGTAGTTGAAAGTATGAAATCAAATGTAGAGTCACGAACTTCATCATATTTGCCATGGCGCCATTGATTTAATCAGCAGGGATAAATAATGTTTATATATCAGTGAATTTGCAAAGCTTAAGGAATTGAAACAGCTATAAATATGATTGTGATAATTTATTCATTAAAATTATCCAAAGACCGACGACGGAGGTGTAACCCTGTGCAATACTAGTATATTATAAGGGAATGGACTTTTGGGTGAATTTTTTGATTCTATAAGCCAACAAAAATGTTAACAATTTTATTATAGTTTACTTTTAAATTCCTTTCTTTACTACACAAAATAATACGATATATTACTGTAGATTTCTTATTTTTCGGGAGTAATTATTATCGCAAACTGGCTATTTTACGCTAAATTCGCGAATGGACGGTTGATGAAGAGAATCTACATGGATTTCAGCACCATAAAAATACATGGAAGAGCGAGTTATTTTTTTTTTTCGATCGTTGCGTCTCGCGAAATTATGCAACAATTCATCGGATATAATTAAGAATCTACAGTAATTAATAGCTCCTCCTAGTAGCTTATGATTTATATATTATAACACACTCTTCCTAAAATCCCCAGAAGGTATTGGGGGTGAATCTGAGGGGAAATGATTTATCTATTAAGGAAATAATCAATAAAGACTCCCTCAACAGGTCCCGAGGAGCTACAAGGACACTTCAATCCCCCCTTATCACTGAGTGGAATAAACACAGTCTGTTTTATGACCCTGTTTATTAACCATAAATCTGGTCTTGTTCAAATTTCACCATAGTGTTGATATAGCGTATTTGGCCTTGGTCTATTCCCAAATCTATATTGGTTAATAATGCGAATAACACGGTTTCTTATGGGTAACGGGTGGGAGTAGATGGACGATCTTTGAGATTTATAGCTGGAAAAAATGAAGAATATTAATTTTTTTCCTGGATAGTAAATATTTATTAAATATTTAGTAAATATTTATTAAATATTTAATATACTTGCAACGGAGACATATAAATATATAAGACGTGTAAACGAAGTCATACATTTCCAGGAGGCAAAACAGTTAATAATTTATAAACAGTTCTTTGGAATAAGATGTTGGACTTTTGAACTCAGATTTTTTACTCTGCATATCGAAGAGAGAGAGAGAGAGAGAGAGAGAGAGATTTGTCGTGCAACCACAATATGCATGTTAAACACACATAAAAAGGTTAAGGTAAATGTTTATGAGTTTCACATGAATAATTCCCAATTGTCTTTCAAAACAAGGAAGAAATAATTAGTGCACATTTGCGTGACGTTGTACGTGCGCCCACATTGTATTGTAAATTTAGATATACATGTACGTTTTCTAAAGTTCACGTCCGAGTTCAGATTTACGTGAATGAATCAGGCACGAAGTTCTCTGCGTCAAAAAACAGCTGTTTACGAAATCCTAAGGAAAATATTTATTGTCTGGAAATGACGTTTCCAGTTTCCGTATTATATAACAGGACTGGATATATACCTAACTGAGAATGGTATGTAATATTGAAATACGTAGTATTATTTCGGACTGTTTAACTTCCAAATTTTAATACAACATAAGTATTCTAACTAAAGTTTAATTAATATGTTTCATGATCTTGGGGCACAGACACTTGTTTCGAATTCAAGGCACCCCTACTTATTGGTAAAAATAAGTTGGGGGTGCCCCGTATACGAATCAAGTGCCTATGTTTTAGGGACAGGACGACTTGTACTTGGAGAAGGTACGATTAAGAGGAAAGTGGGGGGGAAATAAAAACAAATTGTACATAAAAAGATACTAGTAAATTAAAAGGAAAAACATTTTTATTTTAAAATCCCTTTTTCAACAATCACAAAAATTGTAATGCAAAGTGATTCAATATACAGTGTATATTACTTTTCTATATATTCGATCAATGCATACTATCTTTGCAAGATATATAACTGTATTCAGCGGCAGCTCACACATATTGGTCCGACCAAAATAATTCCATCATGATAAGTAGATACAACATTATTGTTTATGATAAGAGTAAAGTTGTGTATGTCATACGTTAAAGAAATCAAAAATAACGTCAAAATATCATTAGAAAGTCACTTTCCCCCCGAAATGCAAATAAAAAATATCAATAGCTCCCTCCTCAGCCTTTTTTTTTTTTTACGTGTTTGACAACAGAGAATAATTAGGTCATTCTTCGATTCATATCTTTTCACCAATGAATTGATAATACTATATCAACAATTGTATTAAGTACATGTTTATAGTCCGTTAATTATCATACAATTTATTCTTAAAGAAAAAATTAATCATTCTGTGTGTGTGTATTATTAAATGACGGAATTTTCAATCCCTGGCCTGCTCGTGTGTACACTTTGTAAACCGTAGGGTATGTGTGGCAAAACGAGAACTGCATGGGTTGGAGATTCGGGTTCGTGTTGAAGTTCAGCATACCATTATATATAGAACTTGAATAATGTAAGTAATTTCTGCGACAAATATATTAGTATATTTCAGTTATTTTCAAAACAAAAAAGGTTTTCCATGTTTTCAGTTTAGTAACCCGGCCATTTTAAACACAAGTTGTTGCAGATGCAAATGTTAGAACAAACTATATAAAGTTCAACAGGGATTGTATAATTTTTATTAATCAGAATTCGTATTTATATGATCTAATTAAGAAAAGAAAAGTTTTGTCTGACATCGTAACTTCTCGGCAAAACAAAACGTGTTTCTCCGAGCTCGCTGGATGCGTGTGACAGCTCCATTGCACGTGTGTAGACCAAGGCTACAGGTACATGTAGGCCTATGTATACTGTTTGTTAGGAGACTGGGTGACCGCAATGCTATGGAATCACGATATTTACAACAGTTCCATAATTAGACAGTGCAGTTTTTTTTTATTAACGTCATTATAAACACTGTTAAACATATTAAATCTAACAGTCGAATATCTTTGGATATGGGGTACCCCATATCTATTCTTGTTACATTTGTCTTAAGAAATATTGTGGGAGCATTTCGGCTGTCGGAAGACTTGGGTGACTGCAGTTTGCAAAAACGTATTTTCAACAACTAATCTTTTAACTCACATGGGTAAATCGGGATTATTTTTACTTTTGGAAACTGCCGTAAATTTGTATAAATGGGTCACCTTGACCTTCGTATTTGTAATTTCCTTGAATGGCATATATTATCATCTAACTTCGTACTTGGTGTAGAGCAACATAGATTGCCAGTTACGTCTCCAAAAGCACCCGACGCATGGGTGGTTTAACCCCCACCCATCCCAAACAGAACCATGTACATATTATAAACTATTGGTATACCTTAAAAGGATTGTTAGAAACTAATTAATAAGTGGTACACAAATACAGAGAGAACGGAAGGATCGACGCAAAGTTTGAACTACATCACAATACTTCCGCTTTAACATTTCGCTGGTGAAAAAAAAGTACACTAGTTAGATGGTCATATTGTAACTTCAGTTGTTCACATTTTTTATACGCAAATTCATTTGGCATTCTTACTCACAATAGTTTTTTTCACTACTTAGTGCCATCTCTCTAACTAAAGAATCTGGTAGTAATTTGATTAGAAACCTATTCACAAGAGAGCATTTTCCGAAATACCAGTATTTCATAAATGAAGTACATCACGAGAGCTTTCATGTGTTAAAGGTTAATGTACGAGAGAGCATTGTGATGTAGCCACATCAACGAAGGCTAGACAAAGATGTCTGTCTGTCTGTCCATTGTCATACACTGTATCAATGGTTGACGGTGGAATGTTCTGTAACTTTGCGTAGTGAAAATTCTTGGAATAAGATTATATTTTCCTTTTTCGTTCACCTCAAAGAAGTTCAGAACGGTCTGACTTTCAGACTTGCTTTGGATTCTGAATCTGACTTACAATTCTAAGACGAATGACCAAAGAAATGTTTTTGCAGAAGCTCTTTAATTTTTTTTTACAACTTCATAAATGAATTTGCATGAATGGTGGTGTATCTAGTAAAGATGGACACTTCCAGATTTGCTATTGATGTTGGAACTGGCCGAAATCTTCTTGATTAGTGCACATGTTCAAGTTTTTTGAGCAGTTCCATTTCCAAGTCATCACGTGAACCAAGTATGATATTGATACATTGTATTAGGATATACACTTACCAGAAAAACGTGATGTAATATATATATTTGCCTTATAATGATAGGTCTTTGTATTTGGATAAATCCTAAGATGGGTTTCTCCCAAATTAATGGAATTGGACAAACAAATCACAACAAACAAGCAGATTATTGAAACAGATAAATTAATGGATACGTGTAAAAAATCATTAGTTTTAATCAAGTTTTTAACTCGTCTGTAAATCGTATGCGTGATACCGTTCTCGTACAACGTGTTAAAGAAACAATAGCTAGGTCCACAGGAAGTTTAAAGACATCATTCATTGACAATATAGAACCTCAAAGGTGAACATAGAGGACTCCAAACTTTAATCTTTTATTTTTAATTGTTTATTTGCATCACGCAATCCCTTCATTTAGTGAGCACAGAGTTCAGTAACATTTACATTATTTTATTCCATTCATCATATCTAACAAGAAATCCTATATCAAACCTATTGATTACTTTTTTCAGAGTCTTTGTCCGTGACATCATCAATATGTGTTCATTTCCTAATTAAGTCTGTGGATTTCTCTAATGCTTCATCACCAGTCCACCAGCTAGAGAAGTCCGATTATTGAACTCACGGATTTGCACATGATAATCAAGGTATGGTTGTTTGCATTCATTTTGGGTTTCTTTTATGCATTTCTATCACTCTTAGCTCACCTGAGCCAAAGACTCAAGTCAACCTTTGTGATCAAAGAGTCCGGGCGAGCGAAGAGTCCTGTGTCGTCTGTACAAACTTTCACATTTTTGACTTCATCTCAAAAACCATTGGGCTATTTCAACAAAACTTGCCACAACGAATTCTTGGATGATATATATATATATATATATATATATATATATATATATATATATATATATATATATATATATATATATATATATATATATATATATATATATATATATATATATATATATATATATATATATAAGTTTACACATAGGAAGTGCTACATGCTCTTTTAAGGGGAGTTAATTAAGAATTCTTGAAACTTTGGTGGCATGTATAAAAAATCCTTCTCTGGAACCAGAAAAGATGAAACTTGTGTGAGAGCTTCAATACATACTGTAGATTCTAGTTTTTTTCATATCATGACCCCTGGGTAAAGGGCGGGGCCACAGCAGGGGTAAAAGATTTACATGTAGGAAAAAATCTTTGTGAACCTTCTTCTCAAGAAAAACAAAGTCATTAGGCTATTAGTACTAGTTATATTAATATAGAAGCATCCTGAGGTAATGTAGATTGAAGTTTGTTAATTCAAATCATGACCCCCAGGGGGTAGGACAGGGCCACAGCAGAGGATTGAAGTTCACATAGAAATATTTAGGAAAAATCCTTTAAAAGATCTTCTCAATAACAACAAAACCATGATTGGCCATAGTAAAAAGGAACCAAAGAAGCTTCCTCAGACCTATGGTTTTAATGTAGATTCAAATTCCAATCATGACCCCATGTGGTAGGATATGGGACCACAATAGGAATCAAATTTTTACGTAAAAAAATAGACGGAAAATTTTCTCAAGAACAGCAAAGCAATGATTGGTCATATTTCTGTGAAAGCATCACCAAATAGATTTTAAAAGTTTGTTGAACTCATGACCTCCTCGGATAATTGGGACCATCAAAAGTTATAAAAGTTTTCAAAGTTATTAAAAGAACAGAAATGATATGTGGCTTCTGGGCTTCTACTTTTTGATTGATTGATTGATTGATATAACGCAGAATATTTCACTGATATGGAGACGTCACCATTGCCGGTGAAGGGCTGCAAATTTAGGCCTATGCTCGGCAACGGCCTTTGAGCAGGGAGGGATCTTTATCGTGCCACACCTGCTGTGACACGGGGCGTCGGTTTATACGGTCTTCCGAAGGACCGCCCCATTTAGTGGCTTCTAACCCGGATCCCCACGGGGCCTCGATCTACTTTTTGAAGGTTCGCGTTTCTGTTTAAATGCTGTTTGCCAAATTTCAAACCGGTTGCACAGATGGCATATATAAATGTAGTCTGAAGTATCTGATGTTTTCCAGACTTTTTGACGATTTTGATATTACGTCGTGATACGTAAAATATCAAAATCGTAAAAAAGCCTGGAAAACGTCTGATATTTCGAACTAATATAAATGGAGTCATGGCAGGAAAATCAAATAAATATTTATGGACTCGTTATACATAATAGAGGAAGAGGGAACTTGTACATGTTTGTCCATATGTTTCAACTTCCTTTGCTTTGTTACTTCCCTTCAAGAAATCTGTTAAGACCTAACCAATTTCCGACGAATATGTGCGATTTTTCTCAAATAGTCTAAAAAAAAATTGGAAGAGAAATAATTCTAAGTTCACCACAGCGGCCGCCATTGATCAATAGTACAGTGTAATTTTTTTTTTTCAAAAAAATTATAACCGTGTGTCCACAATCAAGAACACGAAATCTGTATGTAGGAGGGTTTGTGTACCGTGGTCCTCTTTATTACTGTTATGAAAGTGAACGAGATGGGTTGATAAAAAGAGGGAAATTGGTGTTACAAAACTTGTATATAGAATAAGATCTGGTAAATGAAACAAAATGCGATGTTTCAGGAGCTTAATTATTAATGTAGATTCTAATAAACCATTTTTAACTAGGTTTTCGTAAAATGTTGAATTTATTTGTAAATGGTAATACCAGACTTAACATTTAAGGAATATATTATGATTTTGGGTATCATTGTACATGTTCACGCTATTTTAATTTAAAATACAAATGTACATCAATGGATCTCACACTAAATGTTTTTATAATAGCACTTCCTTTTCGTTTAAAATCGGCGCGTTGTAGTTCATATACCTCATGAATCTTCAAACAATTAAATTCATTTCTTATATTTACATTATTTTTCTGATAATTTGCCACAATCTTACGCCGATCAACTGTCATTTTTAAAACAAAACAGTGTGCACTATATTTTTTACTTTTTCGTCAAGAGCGGTATTATGATGATGAATATTATACACCTAATGTAGTTCAAGAAATATACTGCATTTTATTTTGTAAAGAATCAAAGGGGAAATTTATTGGAAATGTAAATATTGAATATTATACAGTTAAAGTATATCATTGAGGGAGTTAGCAAGATTCCAATTTCCCAAGGCCAAGACTATTTCCCGAGGCGAAACCGAGGAAAATAGTCCTGGCCAAGGGGAACTGGAATCTTGCTAACACCCTCAATGATATACTTTTTAAGTGTTTTATTATATCGATACAAACGTAAAATTTAGAGGACTCACATAGCATGATTTCAAAGCAGGGATTAGCTCATTGAACTAACACACGGGGATTATAGTCCATTCACATACCATACCAATGTAAATGTAAAATCTAAAGGATTACGGATAACCGGGAATTAGCTTTGAAGCAGAGATTAGCTCATTTGACTAACATGACTAACGCATGGGGATTAGTCCATTCCTTACAATTTCTAGGGAATTAGTCACATCTAACGATCTAATGTTATATAGGGAAAAATCAGTAGAGGTATAATAAATACTTAGTTGTAATATTGTATCATAAATACATGACAGGTAAACGTATATCTATTTTAATGAACATTTTCACAGACACAACCTAAAAGGCGCGATGACATAATTCAGCCTGTGTCTGTACAATTCCATCGTTTTAATGAGCTCTGCTCTTGTGATAATTGGATTGTGGTATCTAAACATGCTTTAAACATTTCCATAAAAAATACAGACTGTAATTACACTAGAGAAGTTGTCTGTTCCAAATCAAAAAAAGACAACATTAGTGATGTTTGCCACTTTGAATACAATATCACTGTGCAAATAGAAAATATATGCTTCTGAATTCTGCCAATTACAAGTTTTTTTTCTTTTTCTGTTACTTATAAAATGCTAATATATGCCTCACAAATAGGCTTTACAGAAACCGATCTTTCTGTCCTCAGAGCTTCATCAATAACTAGAGATAATAAATATTGCCTTTTCCCCCCAGGGAAAACCATCTTTATATAAAATAAATTTTTACCAGTTTAAGATTTGTCTAATCCAACGGCTTGGTTCAGTGCTTGCAGCTTTATGTTAAATATTGCATGTTGGACGTGCTCATTTCAGAATTCTCAAATTAAGGCTTCGGTCAGATAAAAAATGAATCGAGGTAAAACTATAGCACGATGCATCCATTTTTATCCAGTTCAATAAATCATGACCTGAATTTAAAGCTCATTTCGACGGCGTCGGTGTTCCAGTTAAAGTTTTTGAAGCCGTCCATTTCCACGGATTAATTATAAGCATTACCTGGACCAAGCTTAAATGGATGGTGCATCTAGGAATGGAAATACCACACTTGCCTTAAGCTTGGATGCTGGATTTGACCTACATTTTACAAATAAATGACTAGGTTCAAGACTAGGAAAATGTCCATTCCAAAGTTACAATGAACATTACCTGCAAACTTGCATGGATGATGCATCTACGAATGGACACTTCATGACTTGTTACGAATCCTGGATTTGGCATCAATTTTGTAGACACTAGTAACTGGGGGTTAAAGTTTATGGAGCAGGTCCGTTTCCATGCAAGAAACTACATTTATAAATCTTATCTACACCACACATTGAAGGATGAGGCATCTTTTCAAAAAAATGTAAAAAAAAAAAAAAAAAAAAAATTATTATTTTTGATTCTGGATATTTCTCAGTTTAAATATGGCATTGAGTCGTGGACAATATTTGATTTGAAAGGAAAAAAGAAAACAGACCAATATTAAACAAGAAGTCTCGTCAATGAAGCGCGTATGAATATGCGATCGGTTACACAAGTCACCGGACTGCTTTCCGTCTGAGAACTGCATTAATATTCAATATACATCTAATCCTCTAGAAATTCCTGGTAAGTCTTACTAATACAGAGTTATTGTCCAAAAACTCCTTTCATATTACCCATTTACTTTGTTAATTTTTCTCGCTTTGTCTGCGATGTGGATGAAGAAGGGCTTGGGACACGTGCACTAAATACTAGTAGTAAAATAGCCACCGAGCTTATAAAGTGTCGTGTTCCTGAGGATTTCTGCTCATTGTTAAATCTACCTTTATTTGATTTTATGAATATTTTACCGAGTAAGCAAAATACATCTAGACGTATTATTAATTTTTTATGATTTCTGAGCAATTTGTGCTTCTCATCATTTACATGTACTCGTTCATATTTGGAAAGGAAAATTGGGGGCTTTCAGCTCATGATATTTGCTCATCACATGCATTGTAATTTAAGGTATTTTGAGGAATAATTTAATGACTGCCATTATGATATTATCTTGCTCACTGACACATGTATAGATTTTATTACCTTCGAAATTGTTAAAACTAATGGTACACATCGGTCAACTAAAGAAGGAGACTGAAATTATCAATCAAAGAGAAAACAGAATAAAGACGGATTACAATTTCACTGGCAGGATTTTAATGTGGTTAAGATTTATGATATTGTAAATCTTTGATTACGATCATCCTTGCTTTACTGACCTCAATATCAATTCGCCATACCGTGATCCGTTAATGTCGTAAATTAGAAATAAATGTCCGGGGGACTCAAATAAGATGG